TCAGACTCTAGCCATTTTAATTGCAAGAGACTTCCTTGCCAAGTCATTCAAGATTGATATCGACCTCATGTTGCCTGATTTTGATTTGAAATGTTTTATGGAAGACAAAGATTAAGACAAATATGACTTTTATTGTTAAGTTGATGAGAGAATGAACAATTAGCTTAGAGTTTTTTTTTTGGGTTTTTTTTACGAATGTTTTTTGTAAATTTGTTTTTTTAATAGTTGGGTTTTAGGACGTTAAAAAAAAATCCAATTTTCCTTCTATATATAAAACCGAGTCCATCTATGCAACTATTGTGTTTGAATTTACCTAAGATTGTTAATGGGAGAACGAACAATTAGCTTAGAGTTTTTTTGGGTTTCTTTTTATGAATGTTTTTTACTATGTTTTATGTAAATTTGTTTTTTTAATAGTTGGGTTTTAGGACGTTAAAAAAATCCGATTTTCCTTCTATATATAAAATCTAAGTCCGTAGGTTGTTAAGATAAAATTCACACCTCTTTCAAAAAAAAAAGATAAAATTCACACCAAATATATTGTAAGTACTTTTTACCGAACATATGCTACAAATTACAAATTGTGCACTGAAAATATTTGATGTCCAATGGACCGAACATAATATGAATTTACCTAAAGTTGTTGAGATTAAATTGACAACCTTTATTTAAATAACTAGGGTATAACCCGTGGGCACCACGGATTAAAAATTTTAAAATAATTTCGATTAAATTATAAATTAATTATTGAAAATTGATAATAAAATCTTTACCAATTGATAAATGTATATATTTTGTAAGGAATATGATAATGACATTATTATTTGTTGAAATTAACGATAGTTGTTTGAATATCTAAGTATAACTTTTTATTTTTTCTTCTCTCTCTAGCGTTGTGGCATCCATGTTCTTGTTTGATATATAATCAAAAATCAAAAATAATAAAGTAAAGTTAAAGAGTACAATTAATAATTTGAAACTAAGGGTTACATACGAATGATGGCTCCTTTTAATTGACGAATTGAATAATAATCAAATAGCAAATAAATGATAGTTGTAAATCATGTGAGCAATCAATTATTTTGACACGATTATTAGTTTACATATATATATTATTTGTCTTTAATTTTATAACGTGTGATTATAATTAATATTCAAGATTGTTAGCTTTGATTGTTTAAGTGTAAATTAATTAAAAATATTCATCTTGTATAATGATATATAAATTAAAGTGACTTATAAAATTCGTTACCATAATACATCAAATGATATTATTAAATTTTAAATGACCCATTCAATTATAGTTAAATAAATAAAACATTTATAAAAACATTTAAATTATTAATAATTCGAAATCGTAATATATAAATCCAACACAATCAATTATAAATTAAAATGATATATGTGATTTACTAAAATTAAGTCATTGTTATACGACAATATGACAAACTGAATAGATTGAAAAAACATAAACAATCATTCATAAAAATGTTATTGTTATATGACAAAGTATAAAATAAAGTAATGTAGGAAACATATATATGAACAAAATAAAAATAAATTACAAACAAAAATAATGAATAAAAAATAAATAAATAATGTTTTAAAGATTGAATTAAAAATATAAATGCTTAACAATTTAAATGGATGTACAGAGTATTAGTTGAAGTTAATAGAAAATTACATAGAAAAATATTATTTCAAAACAATAAAAATTAGAATAAAACATGATAATATAAACTTTTCAAATAAAAATATTCATTACGGTGTAATTATGTTATCCTTACAAACCCAACATTTTTACAATTCGAAATATTATATATTTTGGTTGTTATTAACCTATGATACTTATGTTGATTCTCAAAAAAATATGTGTTATTCACTTTACTAAACATAAACATGTTATATCTAAGTTTTAATAAAAAAAAGTAATAATAAACTAAAAATTTAACAATAAACATGTATATATTTTAAAATTACAAGGGGCAAAGTTGAATTTTGGTAAAAGATGAATGAAGGTTTCTTTCAACACAAAGTCACAGTTGCCACGACACATCATCTCGTTAATTGTTTTCCTCGGACGATTGATTTTCTTCTAACACTACTGACGGTGACAATAGCTTTCTCCGGCAACCTTAAGGTATGTACCCGCTCGCTATGTACGTAGATATAAAACTTAAGATCATATGCATTAATAATTTGTTTTTCTTGATTTACGCTTTCAACGGTTATTTAGGGATTTAATCGAGAAAATCATCAATTCTGGATTTATGGTTTAACCTAACCATCAAATAGAATTGTTTATGCAACCGATCGAGTTTAGGATTTGCTGATGTTGTGTATACAAGCAGTGATTGATAAAATGGAAGCTCAATTCTTTCATTTTTTTTTTTTGAAGATAATCGGAGTTGGATTCATAGCTATAGCGGAAATCAGAAAGGCTTTTATTGTTTCTGAAGCTGGGGTACAATCATGAAATTGAATTATCAGCATCTCCAGTTGTTCGTGTATTTTGTTTCAAACCAAATACCGTTTGTTGCACCGGAATCGACAAGCAAAGGGTGCACCAATTTGTTGTCGCTGTTCTAGCTATTAGTCACTGGAGGATTACAAAAGGCAAAGTTATTATGTATGTCGATGAAGTTATAAAGAAAAAATAGGGCAAGAAATCAAAATAGAAATAGGATGCTATAGTTACAGATAAAATGAAGTTTTAAGAAAGTAAGCTATATTTTTAAAGTTTTACAAATTATAGCAATTGTCTTTTTGAAGATAATCTATATGATTAAAAATTCTACCCCCAATCCAGGATTCTATTTACCTCTTTAACACATGGAACCAATAGTGAAGTAGGTTACTAACTACATAATATTGTAATGAGTTATTCAGTTACTTTTTTATTAAAAAGTCTTGTTTCACCACCATACTTTTCAAGAATGTGATTACTCCTTATCAAATAGTTTTGAAGCTAAATATAAGCATAAAGTTAATGAATTCTGATCAGATGTGAGAATCTAGTAAAAAAAAAAGAGAAATGTCACCAAATTTAACTATTTTTAACTGCTGATGCTACTTTCTGGCAACTTGTTGAGTTTGTGGTATAAAACATTTATGGTGATGACATTTTTTGCCAACTACATATTATGGTAAATTGGATCCTCGTACAGGGAAACTTTATCTAAAAGGTTAGTACCCCGAAATAGAAGAACTTTTATAGCATTCAACAAATATTCACTAAGAAGATTGCACCCCGTTTGAGCAGATTAAGCAAATCCTCAAATCCTATAAAATAATATGAAAGTAGAATGATATTGTAGGTAAAATATGAAAGTAAGATATTGTAAAATAAAATGACAGTATAAACAAATAACTGAGAGTTTTGAGCTATATATAATTATTGAAGGTTAACTTCTAAAGCATATTGCTATTTGATGCATTTAACACCAAAACATGGATAAATAAATAACAATGTACTTTGGTTTTTTGATAAAAAAATAAAAACAAATAGCATCAACCAGAAACAAATAGATATAAACTCAGAAAATGCAATAAACATAAAATATTTATAAAGTAAAAAAATATGTATGAATTCAAAAAACGCAACAAATATAAAATACGTATAATGTAAAAAAATAACATCAACCACAAAAAAATAGATATGAATTTAGAGTACTTTTAAACATTTTGGGAAATAGCAACATACCTTTTATAGATTATTCAAAATAGGATGCCTTAATGTGACCATTTTAAGAGTACACTGCCATATTTTGGCTTCAAAATTATTTTAAAAAAGAAACATTTTAGTATTCTAAAGTTCATTGCTATTAAAAGTGCATTTTCAAAAAGTAGGATGTTATTGTAGTTGTATTATTTGGTTAAAAATGATCCATGTAGCAGAAAAAACATTACAAAACTGGATAAAAAGTTTTTTTTTTAAAACACAGCTAGATAGTAAGATCTTTCGATATCACATAAAAAACCCACACACACACACATTATGTAGTAAAACAATGTCAATAAAAGCAAAAAAGGGAAATTTTAATACACTAACCCGATGAATCGAAGTTATGTGAAGCAAAAAGATATTTCTTCTATGTGTAGAGGCTCGATGAGTTGAAAAATAATGAGTATTATTTTATCCTTAGATTAGGTTGGTAGGATACGAAGGTCCTCTCTGTAGAATTCAAGAATCAGGAATCCGGAGGTGCTCTATAAATTGTTACAGGGGAAGACTTTTTATAACTGGGCTAAAATGATGTGAGTACGCAATAATAAGGAATAAGAAATAAGAAATTGATCCTATACTAATTTGAATATACATGATTTTAGCCTATAAATTCGAAATTGTAATCGTATCATTAATGATTGAAAGGTTCTGCATATAATCAACATAAATTCCGTACAAATTTAAATTGGATTGAGCCAAGTAATCTTATGATTTGAAATTCTAGCAATAGATGTAATTTTAAATTTAAATGTATATACGTTTTCTATGAGATAATTATGTAAGTATAAATTTGGTAGCTTATGAGCTCCTTTTTTGTAGGAATTTCGGAAATATTAATATTAATTAACTTAAAACTATTGCTGATTTTATGGTTTTGATTGCAGGTATTTTAGGATATAATAAGATAATATTCTTCAAATAAGGAAAACTGAAATGCTGATATGTAGGAATTGAATGTCGATTGATGCAATGATTTAGTGGGCGGGAAAAGTAGAGAGTATAAGGCTAGAGAGAATGCCACGTGGCAGAAGGGTGGTCTAAGAGATTGACACGTGACATTTAGGAGAGGTTTTTATTAAGCATGGAGATTTCCAAATCTCATCTTTTAAAAATCTATTTATAAAATCAATACACTTATCAGTATCTATATATACTCCTATCACTTGATTTCTCATATTTTCTCTAATTTCCTCATCGTTCTTTGCATTAATGGGATTATTGTTTTTGCTTTTTAATGGGCCTCTTATTGGGTCATTAAGGCATCGCTATCCGCTGAAATCTGAATGATTCTTTTTGACGTCCTTGCCCCTTGTTCCCTAATTCCCTTCAACACCCACACATAGCATACGCTCTCCGGTTCCAACCTCCGGCCACCAGACTTGGGCGAACCACACCTCCGGCCACTTCAGCGAGTTCCTCCGCGATTCCATGGATTTCCGCAGACAGAGCAGCCCCTCCAGCTCGGTCCTTCGCAAGCAGCACCGCCGGTAAGCTTCTCTTCTCCATCTCTGAAATCGATTTCGTTTCTTCTCTAAAATCTATTTGCTAAGTGGTTTCTTCTCTGAAATCGATTTTGAATCTCATTTTCAACACAAAGTGCCACTGCTGAATCTGATTCTGATGTGTTTCGTTATGTGATTATGAATATGCTTTTGTCTGCTGAACTTCGACTGTAGTTTGTTATGTGAATATGCTTTGAATCTACGCTGAAATGTTCGTTTTGTTACGTGATTATGCTTGAACTTGTTTGGTTTTGTTTGAGTTTGATTTTGAAACTTTGCTGAAATGTATACGTGCTCAAATGTTTGAATTCTGATTTTCGTTTGTTTTGTTTGAATATGAACTTCGATTATGCTTGCACTAGTTTGGTTTTGTTTGAATCTCTGCTGAAATGTTGATGTGCTCAAGTGCTTGAACCTTGACCTTTTTTCATATTTCTCTTGTTTCTCATGGAATGTTGCTGTGATTCGGTTTATAGTTGTTGCTCTGATTCTTTGGCAAGTTATGCGTGCATGTATCATTAGAAATTGTATTTAAACTCAGATGATGGATACATATAAACCTTGTATCTTGATGAAATATTCCATATCTCGACTAGCTAGAAACCGTAGTCAACTTTTTCTTTCTTTTTGTGATCTTTCATTTACCTCATTATGAGTTTAATATGTTAATCTGAGACATTGTATATCATATCTTGGTGTGCAACAGTAAAATGAAGCATGAAATGAAGAAGAAGAAGCAGAGACCTTCAGCCTCGAATGTGAATGAAACAGAGGCTGCTTCGATGTTAATCATGTCAGTGTGTGAGGTAAGAATATGATGCTAAGAGTTATGGGTAGGAATGTAGATAGTTATTACTTATGAGTTTTGAATTTTGATGATGCACTGCAGGAACATGATGATGGTGATATACAAAGCATGAAGACAATCAATCTATCTTATCAGCTTGTGGACAACGCTATGCTGTTCCTAAAAATCCATCTTTTATATTATCCACTTATTGGATGTAAGCAAGCATGCAATTAATCCATATACATACATAATAGTTAATACATATACAGATTTTGTAAATGTGTCTTTTTTTATGTACAGATGTGAGGGAGCTGAAAGTCGTCACCGGAGATGTGATGGTTAAAAACGCGGTACGTTTGAATTTGAATTATGAAAGTATATTTTGCTTCATTAAAGAATATTATTTTAATAATATTATTATTATGTGGGATTGTTGTAGATAGTTGACTTTTTAGAAGCAGAAAACATGGAATGGAAAGAAGAAGAAGAAAACAAAACTACCTTGCGAATTAAAATCGATGGGTAGGGTAGCTTATTTTTTTTTTTTCTCAACAATCATTTTGTATATGAATATATGTTTAATGGTTTTGATATATGATATTGGAAATGGAATCCTGCAGTAACAAAAAGTATGATGTGATGACATTCAAGCTAAGTGAACAGCATATGGAATCCACAATGCAGATTGTAAAACCTCTACTTTTTCTAGGTGCATATGGTGGATGTAAGTATCATGATCTTCTAATGCATATTACATAATACATAATACATATACAAAATTTGTGTCTAATGGATTTATAATGTACAGCTGTGCTGGAATTGAAAGTCAACACCGGATCCGGGAACCTTAAACAGGCGGTATGAATTATGAAATATATGAAATTATATATATTTTAATTATTATTTTTTTGGATGATTTAGGTTGTTAACTTTTTGGAGAAAGAGAAGATAGCATGGAAAGTAGAGAACAACGCAACTCTGGTAATCAAATTCAGTGGATAGTGACTCCGACTAATCAAGCTGCTGGCATCTTGTGAAGATAATATGGGCTAACGTTTTTTTTAGCTTTTATCCAACAATCATTTTGTGTAAATAATTATGATGACAAAATCCTTTCCTTGTATATTCTATGAACATTTTTTGTGAATTAATATTTCTACTAAATTATGACCTGCGTAAACGCGGGGAAACGTAGAAAAAAAACATATGACGTCATAAAAATACGTACACAATAATTAAAAAAAAAAAGATCAAGTAAGCATAAATAGAATTTGCAGTTTGCGATGCTGGTTATATTGAAATGTTTAAAACTTAAAATGAAATGTTTGAATATGTATGATCGTTAAAGGGTTTCTTTGTAGACAATATTTTTTGTTTTATTAGTTGAACGACTTTTTTTTTCATATATGAGTACCTTCAAGCATTTTTTGCTTGTGACGCAAAAAACAGCTACAATAACTGACCATGCGTGAAGACGGGTCTATGCAACTACAATCCAACACTTGATAATGATTGTCCTTGACTTTTGTGAATAGTCATAGCAAAACAAATAGCCACATGGAATTGTCTCCGTTGAAAACGGAAATGAATTCTTTTATCAGAAAGAGTTAACTTCATGCGAGGTATATAAGTAGTCTCATTGAAAAAATCTACCAGTTATAATTCGTGCCTCAATGACATGTTTTTCCAAGCCTAACAATTTGTAACATGTTGCATAGACCTTTGGTTTGGTCGATATTACAAAGTAACATGATCGGAACACCTGCTTTTAGTGCAAGTTTATGGTTGAGAATTCCAGATGCCTTAAAAACATTCAACACATCTGGAGAATAAACTGATTCCTCAAAACAATTTGCTAAATCTGTCTCACATAAAGAATCTGAACTAAGATACGTTTTCCCTTCATCTTTCATCAATCCTAACAAGTAGTCATTGATAGCGTCGACCATTTCATTTGTAGCGACCAAAATGGCTTTATCTTCAAATATGATGGATCATCAATATGATTTTCAAAAGATGGATAAATGGTGGACACAATTGAATGAATATGGTCACATGTAGAGCGAACGATAACGTCTTCTGGAAATTCAAATTCAGATTCACTATCATTAGAACCACCAATATTACCTTCACCAGTTTTAAGAATCCATTCAACAAATGCTTTTGTCTCATCCAAATCATTAGTTGGAGAACCAATTTGAAGCCTCATGTTTATTGTTAAACGTAAAACTGTACATTCACGCCATAATCTGGATGAATGCAACGATGCCTACACAATATCCGAATTATTGCCTTTGTATTGCTGGAATAATTTGTCTAAAGTCACCTCCAAATACAATGGTCTTGCCTCCAAACGGTTTATGCATGTCCGATGAACGGATAATGTCTCTAAGTGTCCTATCAAATGCTTCAAAACAATGATAGTGCATCATCGGAGCTTCATCCCAAATGATAAGTCTTGCTTTGTTCAGCAGTGCAACAAGATCGTCGTTTTGGAGCGGTAGAACAAAATGAATTCTCGTTCAAGTTAATTGGTATATTAAATCTTGAATGAGCTGTCCTACCACCAGAAAGCAAGAGTGCTGCAATTCCACTTGAAGCAACGTGGATAACAATTTCACATTTGGATCTAACAACAACAGACAAGGTCTTCTAAACAAATGTTTTCCGGTTCCTCCATAACCATAAAGATAAAAGACACTCCCTTGTTTGTTGTTAACCACATTCATAATGGTGTCATAGACTTTTCCAATTTGAATGGAATATATATATATATATATATATATATATATATATATATATATATATATATATATATATATATATAATTTGGCGAGGATATAATGCCTTTTCACTCCCACATAAAAAAATATGTCATAACCTATATATATATATATATATATATATATATATATATATATATATATATAGAGAGAGAGAGAGAGAGAGAGAGAGAGAGAGCGAGAGTAGTACTGAGAGATATGTGAAGTTCCAGCCATCGCTTGGGTGTTGTACAACATCTTTCAACTGGCGTTTAACCCGATCAACAAGATGAGACCAAATGAGTGGCGGTTAGTCACCGATCAAGCACTGCAAATCTGATCAGGTCTGTTAGAATCTTTTTCCTAATACGTTAATCTCTCTCTGTTGTGAAAGTGGGTCACGAAGATCAACATAATCACACCCAAACTGTATACATCAGTTTTTTGTTTGATTTCTTGAGCTTTGAAATCGATTCATATTTCTGGGTAAAGATGATGAACAGATGATCCAAGTTGATTGAAATCAACATATTGAGTGCTTCGATGTCTAAGTTGAAAGATCTGATACAGTGGAGGATGGAGGAAGATATATTAAGTTTTGATTGAATCTCATCATTTTGGGATTTCTCCTTTTGATCTTCTTTTTTATTGTGGTTGGGTAAGTTAGAAGTGAAGAGTATGGTTCCAATCATGAGATTGAGGAGAACGAAGAGGACATTTGGAGTGCATTTGGAGATTTGGGAAGTCTAAAAGAGTGGGATGGAGGATGAATGAGTTGATCTGGTTATGTGTGTTTGTGTGTGAAAGGAGAAAGAGTGAGAGAGAGGGTTTTTTTATTTTAAATAATTAAAACATGAATATAAGGGGCATAAAAGTCTTTTTAACATGAATATAAATATAAAAAAAATTAAAACATGAATATAATCAACTAACATGATTATCACTAAATTGATAAACAACTAATATTATATCCATACGCTTTTTCTTACACTTTGTACGAGATACAATTACAAAATATATGTTCATTCTTTCACATATATAAATACTAATGGCGATTATGCCTCTTCCATGAGTTTGAATTCCGATGAGAGCCACCACCACCTTGCCGGAAAATCCTGGTCCATCTAGTGAAACCAATGGCCAACTAGCAAAATACCCCTTCAGATGTCTAACTGCTCTGGTCGGTGGCGTTATGATTCTTTTATCGAGGTCATTCAATGTCACGTCATCTTTAAATCGTCTTAGCTTTACTAGTGCAAAATGGACACCCCACTCTTGTTATCACCTTTTTTTTTTCGGTCCTCGATTCCATCCGCTAACAAATAAAGTTACCCTATTATATCTTAATTAGTTCCAAAATAGTTAACAACGAGGAGATATGTCCGTGCTTCGCCATGACATGAATGTTTTTTTTTTTTTTCTTTTTTTTTTTTTTTTGTATTTTTTATTACCAGTATGAGTTCATGCAGGAGATTCTATGTTGGTGAAGAACAAAGAGTAGGATTAGTCTAAATATATGTTTATATTTCATTACTTGCGTTTGATACATACACCAAAAGAACGGGCTAATGCATAAAAGCCCTTAAGTTTTTCTAAATATTCGGTTTTACCCTTTTGCATAATTTGTGTTCAATTATGCTGGAACTTTACGTAAATTTCTGCATTTTTACCCTTTTAGCCGGTTATCCGGTCACCTGCAGGTAACTTGAACTTGAAGAGGTGGCGTGCCACTTAACCTCTGGTTGGGAGTTCTTCGGCTGACTAGGGGTTGACTCCTCCATTGAATTAAAAAACAAACGCGCATTCAAAGTAAAACGTAGTGGACGAGATTCGAACCAGGTATAACGTGGTGGATGAGATTCGAACTAGGTATACACCATGTAACAACAAAACTCATTACCACTTGGCTAAGAGAATATCTACGTATTTTAGTCCAACACATTGAATATAATACCTTTAATATTAATATTAATATTAATATTATAATTATAATTATAATTATAATTATAATAATTATTATTATTATTATAAAAAAAACATTTTTGTGCATGCAAGTAGGTGGTGTACCAAGCAATTTATTTATTTATTTATTTTGTTTTTCTTGTTGCCATCGAGTAGCACAACCAAAAAAATAAAAGTTTTTTTTTGGGTGATTTATTAACTAAAACATACAAAAAAAATGATTGTTTGTGTTTGTTTACTTTGGTCTATTTTTTAATGTATAAAATTCATTTTTATATGTATGAAATTCGTGTTTAAATGAATACAAGAGTTTTCAAATGTATGTATATGTTTTTTATATATGTATAGAAGCATTTTATTATGTAATTTTATATTTTTAAAAACACTTTAAAACATTTATAAAGACGTTTATAAATTGTTTTTATACATATAAAAACGTATTTATTCAAATAAAAAACTTATTTAGAAAAACACACACACACACACATATATATATATATATATATATATATAAACGTATTTTCAAAAAAAACTTATTTATACATAATAATAATAATCAAAATAATTAAAATAATCAATGTAAAAATAAAGGTAATAAAAAAATTATTTATATAAAAACGTATTTATAGAAAAAAAAACGTACATATGCATATTATGTATTTATAAAGGTATAAAAACATATTTATATATATAAAAAACATATTTAAAAATATATTTATACATAATATTAATCAAACTAGTTAAAATTATCAATGTAAAAATAAATGTAATAATAATAATCAACACTAATTGGATTTGTATTAAATGGTTAGACTAAAACACATAAAAACGTTCTCTGTATGGCGCTTTGTTGTTATTAGTTGTGTCCCTAGTTCGAACCTCTTCGACTACATCAATGCACGATATTTTTTAATCAAGGGAGGAGTCAACGCGTCAGCCGAAGAAGTCCCAATCACAGCCTATGTGGCGCGCTACCTGTTTAAGTTAACTGAGTAACCTCCTAAAAGGGTAAAAAAGCAAAAATTTACGTAAAGTTCCGACATAATTGAACACAAATTATGCAAAAAGGTAAAATCAAATATTTTAGAAAAACTTAAGGGCTTTTATTGCATTAGCCTCCAAAAGAAACGGTAGAAAATTCTACTAAATGTTTTTTGATAATATATAATTTGGTTCAGAAATGCAATACAATAGATTTCCATCTATTATTCCACATAAAGAAATATTAATCAAACCAGCAACTCTTTTATGAGAAAAACATGTGTGGTCTCCATTGGATTTGTTGATAAATAAGATAACTTCACTGAGCAGTTGACATATATAATAATTTAACTAAGCAGCATGTTGAATGAAATTACAATGTTGTAATATACCGAAAATTACAAAGAGAAT